TGCTGCCTTGATGAAGCCACCACTGCCTGTCCATCTGTTTTCAAAGTTGTTTGCTTTTAGAGTTCTGGGATCAGCTGGGCATTTGAGTCTACCAGTGCCCTACAGGGGGTGCTCGACATGTGGCAATTTCTGGGGGTCCCTGAGGCAGAGCTCTCATGGTTGCTGTGTTCACCTCTGCCAGTGCTGGGGTCCACTCCATCTCTCCTCACACATCTTACTCCACTGCTGATGCTCCCTCTTGTTTGTTCGGTTATGACGGGACTACCCTTCACTGCCCCACTCAGCCTGTAGGCCTGACAGGCTCTCCTTCCCCCTGAAGCAGCCTCCTCGCTCCAGCCGCAGCCAGGCCTGCTGGAGTCAGTGCTCTCTTGTCCCCCTCAACACAACCTCCTTCTGCTACTGCCCATCTCTACCCACATAAGCACACACCTGAAACTGTTCTTGCGACAGTCGTCTTGGGTAGTGACCCCTCACTGCCCAAGCCAGAGGACATTTCTTAGTTTTTGTCATGTGGCTGTTCCTGGCAGTCCTGATGGGACTGACCACTGCCCTCTCATGAGAGTCCCTGCCCCCTGCCATGCCCTCTCTGGTAAGTCCCCTTACCTTCTTGTCTGCCTTTCTCTCGCGCCAACTGAGGGTGGAGGTTGGTGCCCCCTTGCCTTAGCCCTCTGCTCCTCTGCTGTCTTCCTTGGAGGGTTCACGCAGCAGGCCTCACCCATGTCCCAGTCTCCCACACCCACTGTAGTGTCCCTCAAGTGTCTCTAATTCAGTATATTCAAAATGGCCCTTGTCATCTTCTCCCTGCCTACCCCTCCCCACATTCATGACAGTTCCTCATCCATCTGCCACCCGCCATCTCCAGACACTGAGTACTGCTCAGCACCATCCACTTCCGCAGCTCTACACTCACTGCTCCCCCTGCCTGCAGCCCACTCCCACCTCCTCTGCCTGCAAACACTTGCCCATCCTCTAAGACCTGGCTCTGAGGACACCTCTGCAGGAGTCTCATCTGCCTCAGGCTGTGGGAGTGGGTGCTGGGAGGCTGAGAAGACCTGGCTGAGCCCATGCACAGCATTGCCATGACATGTCCCAGTTCCTAGTCAAGGCCCAGCCTGAGGAGGGGTGGGGACATCAAGTACCTGGCTGCCAAGTAGGCTGCTCTGTACCATGCACTCCCTGTGCTGCAGGTTCTTTCTGATGTGTTACCTGTTTGTGAACCTGGCCTGTGCTGTGCAGACACTCCTGAGGACCCCCAACTGGCGACCCCGGTTCAAGTACTATCACTGGTAAGTGCCAGCTAGACCCCTGAGCCAAGTCATCTGACACAAGAGCTATTGGGGAAGCCAGGAGCCCCATTCTGAATGGGGTTTGAGTTTCCTGGGCAGCAGTTGGTATTGGTGAGAGATTGGGGCATTGGGGGGCTTGGCCTGGGGCCCTACTGGTCTTGCCCTGATTCCCTTTCCCACTCTCTGGCCCAGGGCATTGTCCTTCCTGGGCATGAGCCTCTGCCTGGCCCTTATGTTTGTCTCCTCCTGGTACTACGCCCTGGTCGCCATGCTCATCGCGGGCATGATCTACAAGTACATTGAGTACCAAGGGTGAGTGAGGGGCTGCTGTCTGGTCGGGGCAAGTGGGGTGGTCTGTATGTTGGGTTGAGGGGAACTGAACCATCTTTTTCTAGCCACCATGGGTGCCATCTCACATATACATGGACAGAATCTAGGCACTCACCAGTTTTGGCCTCTGCAGGGCTGAGAAGGAGTGGGGTGACGGGATCCGAGGCCTGTCCCTGAGCGCTGCCCGCTATGCACTATTGCGGCTAGAGGAGGGGCCTCCACACACCAAGAACTGGCGGTGAGTTCACACCCAGACTAGCAAGGCCACTCTGGGTTCTCAGGGGGTGCTCTGAGGGTGGGAGGGTCAAGAGGTGCTGGCTCCCCCTCCCCAGTCCACATTCCTTGTCCTAGGGTTGCCAGGGGCACCCTCCTGCATGTTGAGTCCTTGATCCCTGCTACCTAAACCTGCGGGGCCTGTGAGCCGAGAAGGGAGAAGAAGAGGGGCTCCCTGGAAACCTCTGGCCCTGGTCTCAGGCTGCCTCCCCATCCGGCCACCGCAGGCCTCAGCTGCTGGTGCTGCTGAAGCTAGACGAGGACCTTCACGTGAAGTACCCACGGCTCCTCACCTTTGCCTCTCAGCTTAAGGCCGGCAAGGGCCTGACCATCGTTGGTTCTGTCATCCAAGGCAGCTTCTTGGAGAGCTATGGCGAGGCCCAGGCCGCTGAGCAGGTGCATGCTGCAGGGGCAGGGAGCTGAGCCGGACTAGAGGTGTCTGGAGTGGCACATAGGGGAGGGGACCAATCCTGGCCAGCCAGATGGGTAGCACTGCTGCCACCTGAGAGCTAGAGCAAGGGTGGGGGTATGACTGTCCCATCTTGGAAACATGGCCTCTGGGTGGGCAGCTTGTCCCCATTTCCTCCCCCATCCCCAAGTACTTCTGTGCCCTAGGGGCCTTGGGAGGGAGCCCAGCAGAGAGGACACTGATGGCCTTGCCTTCTGACCCTAGTGTGTTCCCCACAGACAATCAAGAACATGATGGAGATTGAGAAAGTGAAAGGCTTCTGCCAGGTGGTGGTAGCCAGCAAGGTGCGTGAGGGGCTGGCCCACCTTATCCAGTCTTGCGGCCTGGGCGGCATGAGGCATAACTCTGTGGTGCTGGGCTGGCCCTATGGCTGGCGACAGAGTGAAGACCCACGTGCCTGGAAGACCTTTATCGGTGCGTAAGGGTCAGGGCCTGGGCTCAGTCACGTGGGACAGGTGTCAGGGGTTAAGTGAGGACAGAGGACAGAGGACCACAGGCTGGCAGTCAGTAGTACCCTTCCTCCCCAGACACCGTGCGCTGCACCACAGCCGCCCACCTGGCCCTGCTTGTGCCCAAGAACATTGCCTTCTACCCGAGCAACCATGAGCGCTACCTGGAGGGCCACATCGACGTGTGGTGGATTGTACATGATGGTGGCATGCTCATGCTTTTGCCCTTCCTGCTGCGCCAGCACAAGGTGGGCCAGGCAGGTGGGCCTGGGTGAGAGGAACTGGTCCCTTGGAGAGATGGGTGTGACGGAACCACCCACCTGCTCCATTGCTACAGGTTTGGAGGAAGTGCCGGATGCGGATCTTCACGGTGGCCCAGATGGACGACAACAGCATCCAGATGAAGAAAGATCTAGCTGTGTTTCTGTACCACCTACGCCTTGAGGCAGAGGTGGAAGTGGTGGAGATGGTGAGCCACCCACCCTGGTGTGGCCTTGTGGAGGCCCTGCTCCACACAGCCTAGTCCTCATGGCCCATCCTCTCCCTAGCATAATAGTGACATCTCTGCATATACCTACGAGCGGACACTGATGATGGAGCAGCGGTCCCAGATGCTGCGGCAGATGAGGCTGACCAAGACTGAGCGGGAGCGAGAAGTCAGTGGCCTTCTTGGTTCAGGGCAGGGGCAGGAGGCAGGGGCAGGCCTTTGGAGACACCATGAGTGGGGGTGTTGGAATGACTCACTCCAGCTCCACTCAAGTCAGTGCCATTTCCCTGAGGTCAGGTGATCATGTTGGGCCAGCCAGGCCCCACCTTCTCCCATGGCATTGAGGGCTCTGGTTGTCCTCAGGCCCAGCTAGTCAAGGATCGGCACTCAGCCCTTCGGCTGGAGAGCCTGTACTCGGACGAGGAGGATGAGTCTGCAGCTGGGGCTGACAAGATCCAGATGACATGGACACGGGACAAGTACATGGCAGCTGAGCCCTGGAACCCCAGCCACGCCCCTGACAACTTCCGGGAGCTGGTGCATATTAAGCCGTGAGTACAGCAAAAAGAGACACAGCCACGTCAGTGGGATGGAGGGGTAGGAGGTGGGATCGGGGTAGACAAGCTCTGTGGATGCCAGGGATGGGGCCCATGATCAGCTTCATTATCTGCAGGGACCAATCCAATGTGCGGCGCATGCACACTGCTGTGAAGCTCAATGAAGTCATTGTCACACGCTCCCACGACGCCCGCCTGGTCCTACTGAACATGCCTGGTCCACCCAAGAACAGCGAGGGTGATGAGAACTGTATCCCTTTTTAGAGAGACAGGCAGTAGGGAGGTGGACAGCATGTGAGGTTGGGCCAGGAGCTCCTCTCCTGGGTGCCCTGGGGGGTGCCAGGTTTCCCCAGCTCTCATTGATGGGCCAAACTTCCCTGGGTGCCCTGGGTTCTGGTGCTGCCTCCTTGACCTGATGCCCTACAGACATGGAATTTCTGGAGGTGCTGACCGAGGGCCTCGAGCGGGTGCTGTTGGTGCGTGGCGGTGGCCGTGAAGTCATCACCATCTACTCCTGAACCAGTACAGACTTGTGGACTAGAGTGGATGCGTCCAGGGTAAAGGCCCCCTCGCGGCACCCACCCATCAGCCCTGCTTTGCCTGGCCCTGCCCTGGACCCAGCTTTGCTAGGTCTCCTTGGAGACTGGGCCTGGGCCTGGCAGTGGAGATGGATCCGAGGTCCCGCAGGACCCTGAGAGGTTTGGGGACTTTCCCATCCAGCACCCCAGGCGGCCTGCCCTAGCTGGATAAGACTGGTGGGGGCTGATGTGGAGTTTGAAAGCAGCCAGCCCAGGAGCGCTATTTATTGCATATTTATTGTTCAGATGTCACCAGCAGAGAGAAGGGGAGGGGCAAAAGGGAGGGGGTCTGGCCCAGCATGCTTGCAAGAAGACCTGGCTTAGGCTACTGTGGGCAGGGACCCCCACCAAGCCCAGCTGAATGGAGCCAGCCAGCTGAGGCCTGACTTTTTCAATAAAACATTGTGTACTTCTGGGCCTCCTGCTCCCCTGGCTCTGTTTCTCCGGGTGCCAAGGGAAAAAGGCGGAACTGAAGCCAGACCTAGAGCCACTCCCTGAGGCTATGCCCCTTTCCTGCAATCTCTGGCCACCCCCATTGGCCAGGCTGCCCCTCCCACAGGCCCTGGGGCCCCTCCCACCCTCACTACAGATGAGGCCAGCCCAGGACTGCTTCACTGGGCAGTAGGCACTAGGGCTGGAATGGGGCCGCCCGGCTCCCCATGGCAGTGGGTGCTGCTGCTGCTGGGGCTGCTGCTCCCTTCTGCTGCCCCCTTCTGGCTCCTCAATGTGCTCTTCCCCCCGCACACCACGCCCAAGGCTGAGCTCAGTAACCACACACGGCCCGTCATCCTCGGTAAGCCCCCACCAGGCCCCTGATGCACCAGGCCAGACCTTGGGGAACCTGGGCCCCAGCCCCTGGTAGCAGACCCTGCCAAGGCCCTTCTGCCCCTGCATTAGCCCTGATACCTGCTTCAGTGTTCGGAGGGACCAAAGGTTTGTGCTGCAGAGAAATCAACCCTTTCTCCCACCACACTTCCTATGTCTCTGAGTTGTCTATCCCAGGTGGGTAGAGTGGGGGGTGGGTGTGCCTGAGGGCTTGGCCAGGGCATTACAAGCTGTGGTCAGCTGCAGCCCCTGGACCTTGGGTCAAGCCCCACCATTCCTTCCTCAGCCCCCACCCAAGCAAGGACAAGATGCCTAGCCCAGGAGAGCAAGAGAGGCCTATCAAGGCCTGCCCCCTACTCCTAGGCCCAGCCCCCATTCCCCTATATCTATTTGTTCTCACCTTGGACTTTGGCAGTAATGGAGAGCCATGCTAAGTGTTTGCTTTGTGGGAGCAGGGGTCAGTGGCCTTGGCCCCTGCACCCTCCCTTCCTGAGGGGAACCTGGGCTTTGGGCTGCTGTGGGGATGGGGCGGGGGTATGATCAGAAAGAGAGGTTCATGTCTTTAGTCCCTGGGGGTTGAGAGTGTGGGAGATGAAGGGGCGAGGCTGGTCACTACAGTGTCTGGAGGATGAGACTGGAGTGGGGGCTACAAGGGGTGGAAGTCTGAGGAATCCAGAGTGAAGGCTAGTGCCTGCAGTGCCTGGCTGCCTGGGGAATCAGCTGGAAGCCAAGCTGGATAAACCAGATGTGGTGAACTGGATGTGCTACCGCAAGACAGAAGACTTCTTCACCATCTGGCTGGATCTCAATATGTTCCTACCCCTTGGGGTAGACTGCTGGATCGATAACACCAGGTAAGTGCCATCCCCGCTGCCCCAGTCCCCACACCCTGCCCCTTGGCTGCTGGTCTGCTGAATGCCCCACTGCCCCCAGGGTTGTCTACAACCGCAGCTCTGGGCGTGTGTCCAATGCCCCTGGTGTACAGATCCGTGTCCCTGGCTTTGGCAAGACCTACTCTGTCGAGTACCTGGACACTAGCAAGCTGGCAGGTGTGTATATTGGGGGAAAGAGTGGGACTCTAGGCTGTGGTGGGCCCATAGGAGCTGTGGTCAGAGCCCCCAGTGCTACTGCCTCCCCTACAGGTTACATGCACACACTGGTGCAGAATCTGGTCAACAATGGGTATGTGCGGGATGAGACAGTGCGGGCTGCCCCCTACGACTGGCGGCTGGAGCCCAGTGAGTGTCTCTGCAGATGATGGGTTCAGGGTGGGGCAGATGGCCCCTAACCCCAACTTCCCTGACACATACCCCCCTCATGCCCCCACAGGCCAGCAGGAGGAATACTACGGGAAGCTCGCTGGGCTGGTAGAGGAGATGCATGCTACTTATGGAAAGCCTGTCTTCCTTATTGGGCACAGTCTTGGCTGCCTGCACTTGCTCTATTTCTTGCTGCGCCAGCCCCAGTCCTGGAAGGACCGCTTCATTGATGGCTTCATCTCTCTTGGGGCTCCCTGGGGTGGCTCCATCAAGCCCATGTTGGTCTTGGCCTCAGGTGAGAGGGCCTCTGATTACCTGTGTCCTCTAGGGGGTTGGGAGGTGGAATGAAGCTGACCATGGGCCTGTCCTGACTCCCATTTCTGCTCACAATGCCAGGCTGGGGGTGTTGTCCACCACCCCTGGGACATGGTCCCTGTCCTTAGCCCCCTGAGAGCAGGGAGCCTGGCCTGGACCATTAGAGCACCTCCTGCCAGAGTCTGTCTCAGTGACAACAAAGGGGAAGTAAAGAGAGAGGAAGTGAATCCCAGCAATCTGATTCATTGCCCTACGTCTGTTCCTTGTGGCCTCAGATCCTGCCCACCCCGCTTTCAGCTGCCTTCTCCCAGGAACTCCTTTGCCTGGGGATCTGCCCTACTGAGGACGGATCTTCCCAAGCCAAGGCCAGACCCTAGGAGCCCCTCCTGCCCTTCCCTGAGGAGTGGCACAGCCACCATCTGTCGAGCACCCACTGTATGCTGGGCATAGCCAGACTCGGCCTTCCTCCTAAGAGCTCAGGATCTGGTGAGGGAAACACTCCCCAGGCTATATCAATAAGTGTCAAACAGCCACGGTCTCATTTTATCCTTCTCAGAACACAGCTCTGACCCCTGTGCAGCACAGGCCACAGAGGCTGACAGACATTTGCCAGCACCGTCCCCCCACCACTTCTGGGAAGATGTACAGCTTTCCACTCTCCTGGTTGAGCTGTTCAGGCAGCCTGCCTTGTGTCTACCTCTGCTCTGGGCGTGGGGACTGGAGACAGCTGCACACACACAGAACCACCAGCACCACCCCCCCACCATTCACACATACATGCCCATCCCCAGGAAACTCCTCCCTTCCCTCCTTTTGAGGGCCTACAGCTCTGCCTCACAGAGGTGCCATCAGAGCTGCTGATTTAATAAGCACTCGTTAAACACCTACTGAATGCCAGGCCTGCTTTAGTCTGTGGCTTGGAGTCTATGTTTGGATTGAGCATCCAGCTGAGCTTGGGTTGGGGGCAAGTTGTGGGCAAGGGGTAGGCAGGCCTGGCTCCATGCCCTACCTTGCTCCATGTCCACAGGTGACAACCAGGGCATCCCGATCATGTCCAGCATCAAGCTGAAAGAGGAGCAGCGCATGACAACAACCTCCCCATGGATGTTTCCCTCCAGCCGGGCATGGCCTGAGGACCATGTGTTCATTTCCACGCCCAGCTTCAACTACACAGGCCGTGACTTCCAGCGCTTCTTTACAGACTTGCACTTTGAGGAAGGCTGGTACATGTGGCTACAGTCACGTGACCTGCTCGCAGGCCTCCCAGCACCTGGTGTGGAAGTATATTGTCTGTATGGCGTGGGCCTGCCCACGCCCAGCACCTACATCTTTGACCATGGCTTCCCCTACACGGACCCTGTGGGTGTGCTCTATGAGGACGGTGATGACACTGTGGCCACACGCAGCACCGAGCTCTGTGCCCGCTGGCAGGGCCGCCAGCCACAGCCTGTGCACCTGCTGCCACTGCATGGGATACAGCACCTCAACATGGTCTTCAGCAACCAGACACTGGAGCACGTCAATGCCATCCTGCTGGGTACCTACCGACGTAGCAGCCCTGCATCCCCAGCTGCCAGCCGAGAGCCCCTGCCCCCTGAATAAAGATCTTTTGCTGCTGTAAGCTCTGACATGTATGTTGTAGGTTGAGGAGGAGGCACTAAGTACCACACACCAGGATTTGTTCATCAGCAGCCGCTTTGAACAGTTGGCGCTTTGTGGAACATAGGGCAGGATGGGCTTTGCTAAAGCCTGGGGTTGAACGGGGCACCCTGAGATGTACAGCTTCCCACTCTCCTGGTTGAGTTGTTTAGGCAGGCTGCCTTGTACCTACCTCTGCTCTGGGCATGGGGACTGGAGGCAGCTGCACATACAGCTGTGAGATGGGGGCACATGGAGCCAAGGGTGCAGGGAAGGGAAGATCTGAGCTGTCCCTCTCAGCTCCCAAAAGGGCAAGTGAGACTCCACCTCTAGACAGGGCCTTCTGAGTACTAGGTAGACGACAGAAGCACAAGAATTTAGAATCTGGGGGAGTGACAGCCACTAATCAGATATTTCACTAATGAAGGTTTAATTATTAATGTAGCTAAGTGGTCTGAGAGAAAAGTTTAGGGAGCAACAAGAGGCTGAGTCTTGTGGGTCAGGGAAGGCTTCCCAGATGAGGTGGTACCTATGCTGAGATCCGATGGGATGACAAGGGTAACATGGGCCAGTGTAAAGACTTGGGTTTGAGCCTAAGAGCAATGTGCAGCTGCTGAAGGTTTTAACCAGGGAAAGAGTGTGACCAGGTTTTCAATCTAGAAAGAGCCTCCTCTCTGCAGGGTACAGTGGAGCCTGGAGTGGGAGGTGAGGGGCAGGAAGTGTGGGGAAGCCAGGGAGGCCAGTGCAGTATCCAGAGGAGGGAGGATGCTGGCTGAGACTAAAGCAGTAGTTAGGAGAAAGATGTGGATAGATAAAGGGTCATCTGGGAGGTGAAATAAGGCTTGGCCACGGGTAGAGCCCAGCATGCCTCCAGGCCATAGGTGGACAGCCACGGTGCCCCTCTTGAGAGCAGGAAGACAGCCCCTGAGAGAGGGAAGATGGAAGTATCAGCATCACCATGGCCAAGGATTGAACTTCCATGTTTGAGGTTTGGGGAGGAGACAGGCAACAAAAGAGAGGCAGGAGTTGGGAGAAGGAAGGTGACAAAGGACAAAAGGTAGCCATACCTGATGCTGTTGGGAGGCCAGTAACAAAAGGGACAGAGACCTATTGTGACAGACTTAGGGCAGTGAGACTTGAGATTAGCGTTGGGGTCAGGGTAGGCAGAGCAAGGGGCTCAGATTGGAAGGGGGAAGAGGAGTGGAACAATGACCAGAAGCGAGGGATTTGTCCCTCTGTTCAGAGGACAGAGAAGCAGCATGGAGAGCCAGGCAAGGGACATCTCCCTCTTCCCCAGCTGCCTAGGATCACAGGTGAAGGTAAAAGTGAAAGAGAATATGGGCTGGCCCCGTGGCCGAGTGGTTAAGTTCGCGCGCTCCACTGCAGGCGGCCCAGGGTTTCGTTGGTTCGAATCCTGGGCGTGGACATGGCACTGCTCATCAAACCAAGCTGAGGCAGCGTCCCACATGCCACAACTAGAAGGACTCACAACGAAGAATATACAACTATGTACTGGGGGGCTTTGGGGAGAAAAAGGAAAAAATAAAATCTTAAAAAAATATTAAAAAAAAAAAGTGAAAGAGAATATGCAGAAAGGGGCCACCCTTTTCTGAGGAAGGGTGAAAGCGAAAGCAGAAAGCGTCAGACGCGGAGCCCAACAGAAGACAAGGCTGCGACCTTTCTTGCTCCACGCTGGTGCCACTCGTCTGATCATCGACCCCCAAACCCTAGACCGCCCTGCCCACCCCGGGATGCTGAAGGCAGCGCTAGAGCCCCGAGGGGGCTTCTGCTTTGAGAACTGCCAGAGGTGAAGGGGGGTGAAATGGTTGGGCCCCAGCTGCCTATGAGGGCTTCCGGGAGTGGGAGCCCCAGGACCTTTATTCCTGGTAGGCGGGGGGAGAGTAGTGTACGTTTGGCGACTTGGGTTCCCAGGCTTACCCCGGTAGGTGAGGGAGACCGAGACGGAGTTAGGGGATGTGATGGGGACCCCAGAAGAACCAAAACCTGGGCCACTCCCTTCCGTTTTCAGAAACGCATCCTTGGAACGCGTCCTCCCGGGGCTCCGGACCCCTCATGCACGCAAAACTGGGACCACCATCGCGGGCATTGTGTTCCGAGTGAGTAGGGTGTTGGGACTGGGGGGTCTTATAGGGGAGGTTGGGGGATCGGGCGGGCACTGAGCCAGTGGCCCCTTCGCATCCACAGGACGGGGTCATCCTGGGCGCGGATACGCGGGCCACTAACGATTCGGTCGTGGCGGACAAGAACTGTGAGAAAATCCACTTCATCGCTCCCAAAATCTAGTGAGAATTCCCCAGCCCGGTTCTCCGCGACAAGAACCGCCCCCTCGTTCCCATCCTGCACCTCCTAGCCCCGCCCACACCAACCCTCCTTTCGCCCTCAGCTGCTGTGGGGCTGGAGTTGCCGCGGACGCCGAGATGACCACACGGATGGCAGCGTCCAACATGGAACTACACGCGCTGTCTACGGGCCGCGAGCCCCGCGTGGCCACAGTCACTCGCATGTTGCGCCAGACGCTCTTCCGGTGCTGGGGAGGGCTGATGACCCAGGGGAGGAGCTGTTGCGGGGAGAGCGAGACTGTGAGGTCCCGGGAGGCCGGAAGAGGCCGGCCTAAGAGGAGGGGGGCAACAGGAAGGAGTGGTGTCAGTCTTGGGCACCGAACCACAGGAAGGGGCGGGGCTCGGATCCAGGGGCGGTATCGCGGTGGGGCGGGACCTCGGGGCCTGGTGCTTGTTGCTGACCACGCCCACTCCACGGAAAGGTACCAGGGCCACGTGGGCGCGTCGCTGATCGTGGGAGGCGTAGACTTGACAGGACCGCAGCTCTACGGCGTGCACCCCCACGGCTCCTACAGCCGTCTGCCCTTTGCGGCCCTGGGTGAGCGCTTCAGCCCCTTCTCCATGAACCCCGCCCCTAGACCTTTGCCTCACGTTTGACCCGCGATGGGGCGGCTGCAACTGACCTCAGATGCCCCTCCTGCCTGCAGGCTCCGGCCAGGATGCGGCTCTGGCAGTTCTGGAGGACCGGTTCCAGCCGAACATGACAGTGAGCGACACTTAGCCTCCACTACGCGTTCATTGGTGGGAAGTGACCCTAGGAGCTCGGGGAAGGCAGAGGTAGCCTAGCCTAGTCAGGAGGTCGGGGAAGCCTTCTCGGAGGAGGTGACTACTGAGTGGAGACTCACGGGCCAGTGGAGTGAGGGTGGATAAGTGCTGTTCCAACAGACCACCGTCACTGCCAAAGTTTGGACTGCCCGGACAAGTCAAAGCTCAGAGAGGACTGTTTGGAGCTGAAGGAGGAGGGAACGGAAGATGGGGTCTTGAGTCTGGATTTTGTTTGGGATGGGGTGGAAATGAATGACGTATGTTGCTTCAGAAGTACCTGCAGGCCAGAAAGAAAAATGCAGTAAGCCAGTGGATTGGGGACCAAGACTACATTGGGTGGGTGGACAGGCCACTGGAAGCAGAGCCATGAGTGTGACTCAGAGAAGTTTGTGAAGATGGGGGCAGTGGGAACATGGGGTTTCTGGAGAGAGGGAGGCAGACAGTAGGGGAGGGGATCTTGAGGTGGTGGTGTAGGATGAGAGAAGAGTTTGGGTGCGAGCAAATGGTACAGAGTCTGGGCTTCAAGATTAACCAAGTCTCCAGACTGAAGCTTGAGGGCGATACCAGAAGAGTCCATCAGGCCTCACACACACATCATCATCATCACAGCTGGAGGCCGCGCAGGGGCTGCTGGTGGAAGCCATCACTGCAGGAATCTTGGGTGACCTGGGCTCTGGGGGCAATGTGGATGCATGTGTGATCACAAGGACCGGCGCCAAGCTGCTGCGAACACTGAGCTCACCCACAAAGCCCATAGTGAGGTAGGAGCAGGGAAGATGGAGGACCACAGGGAAGGATGGTGTGGGAGCAGGGGAGATAGGGGGCTGCAAGAAGAGGATGGGCCACATGATGGGCCCTCATTGAGAGACCATCCCTCCTTGCTCCCAGGTCGAGCCAGTACCACTTTGCCCCTGGGACCACAGCTGTCTTGTCCCAGACAGTAACACCACTGACCCTGGAGCTGCTGGAGGAAACCGTGCAGGCCATGGAGGTGGAATGAAGTAGGCTAAGGCTTAGAGCTTGGAACAAGGGAAATAAAGCCAGAAAATAAAACACCTAAACAGGTGGCTGTGTCATTCTTGGGTGGGTGTGTGTGTTGGGGGTGTTAGCAGCCACCAGGGCTCTGTGGCTAAGGTATCCCTGCAGGGGCCACACTCTCCCATAGCTCCAGTGCCTGGCCTACAAGGTGCCTTTCACCCATCACCTTAGGTATTTACCCCTCCAGCTCTGGCAAGCATTGCAGGCTCAAAGTGGAAAGCCCCCTGCTGACTCTCCACACCATAGAGACTCTCCCTACCACTCCCATGCCTTGCTCTTGCCCTCTAGTCCACTGGGGGCTGTTGTAAAATCCAAAAAGCCCCATGTACGGCCCCTACCTAGAACCTCTACCTGGCTCATTAGTGGCCCAGGACAAAGCCAACACCTCTCAGTCAAGCCCCCCATGGACCCCATTGAGGGCTAAAGTTCTGATACAGGAGCTGCTCCCTGACTCCAAGGGCAAGTTCTCACAGCACTCCTCACCACTGCAACACCTTTACCTGTGAAACCCCTCTGATAACCAGGCACACCTGAAGGTGCTAACACGAAGCTGGGCTTCTGTTTGCACATGTTGGGCTGTGAATAGGGGTACTGACTCCAAGTTTCCTCGATTGACGGGGTCACGGGTCACAGGGCTCATGTGGGGAGACATGACATGACACATTTATCCAGCAAAACTTTGCTGAACACCCACTGAGTGCCAGGCCCAGGTGCTGGGTGCTGGCAGGAGCATCCTGCCCTTGGAGAGAATGGCAGAGTGGCTGAGCTCCAGTGGGGCTTTGAAACTGTTAATGAGAGTCTGCCCAACCTCTGGCGAGGCCCTCTTGTCTGCCAGAAGGGGAATGTGTGGGTGTTTACTGGCACTGTCTCCTGGGGCACCAGCAACTGCAATGTGTGTGCGCCTGCCGTATACACTCAGGTTAGCAAGTTCAGTACCTGGATCAACCAGGTCATGGCCTACAACTGAGCCCACCACAGGCCGCCTCCCCATCTCAATCCATTAAAGACCCTAGGCTCTACCCTCTAGGGTATTTACCTACCCTCTTGGGTATTCTTGTCTGTCCTCCTGGCTGAGGGGAAAGGAGGGGTTCTTGGGGGTCCCACTCCCCACTTGGGCTTTTTCTTCTGGCACAGCAGGTGTTGAGGAGTCAGGATCTCCAGAGTAGTGTGGGTAATACCCACGCTGGACCCCCATCCCTCCTCCTCCTGGGCAACCCCTTGGTCCACACCAAGAAGCCTGGCTGTTGGAATGAATGGGCAGCCTTCCCTGGGGAGGGCAGCCTGTTTATTGAGTACACAGAATACATTTACAAACTGAGTACACAAAATAAATAACTGCACATTCTCCCTCCATGGTCCATGGCATAAAGGCCCAAGAGGATCTATCATAGGCCCAAGTCTCCAAATTCCTTCTGTCCTACCCTGAGGACCAGTCTCCTGGGCAAGAAAGGAAATAAATCCCCAGGGCTTCAGGCCCCCAGAAGCACCTGGGGAAGTGAGGGAATTCTGAAGCCATGGGGCTTGGGCTTTCCATGGCCTTGTGCCAGGGGGGCACTGGGGACGGAAGGAGGGGTATATAAGGCACAGTTGATTTGGTCCAGAGTGGTCTCTTTGGCTTGGTTTCTTGCTGGAGGTGGCACATGCAGAAAGAGGAGCTCCTGGCCCAGGGCTACCCACTGGGAGGAAGTGACTGAGGGTACCTCAGTACCTACCTTCAGTAGGGAACCCTCCCTACTGGCAGGGGCCCTGCAGTCTGGCTAAGGCTAAAGCTGGGCCCTGGCTCCCCACCCACTGAAAGCAGCTGTAGAGGAAGGGGGCTGGGTTCCAGCCTGGTTTGTGGTGGCGGGAGGCACAATGACTGACATGGGGATGGTCTGGCTCAGGCCTCTGGGAAAGCAACCACCCAATTCCATCCACCTTCTGCAGCGGCTCCCTCCAGCCTGAGATTCAACGGGGCCCAGACTAGAAGGGTAATGCTGTGAAAGGAAGCAGGGACAGACTGGACCAGGCAAGGCCAGCTGTGAGAAGGCCAGTGCTCCAGGCACTCAGGGTTCAGAGGCAGGTCACACAGTATGGCTAAGTTCCAGGGGGAGCTGTGCAGAAGCTCAGCAAAAGGGGAGAGTTGAGCAGCCTGGGGACCCTCCCTCAACGCAGCAGCTCCTTCCTTACTATTTCCTCTTGGAGGATGGAGGGTGAGTATTGTGGTCATTCTTAGGTTGCCCATACTCATGCCAGATAGTAGATGGCTCCTTCATGCAGCTGCAGAGAGGGGAACAGCAGAGCCTGAAGGGAAGCGGCAATGGGCAGTACCAGGGGTGGAACTAGGCTGACACTGGAATCCTGATGGGGTCCTCCCTGGGAAGCCCATGCCCTCTGCCTTTGCCCAGGTGCCCCCATCCCCCAGGTAGCAGCAGTGGGGCTCCCTTTAATCCCCCACAGTTGGGAAGGAGGCACCTGGGGAATAGAATGGGCATCCACGATGATGGGCTCTGCAAAGAAGGCACTGAGAGCGCTGGGCTGGTGGGGAGGAACTCTTCCACAGTCAGAGGTTGGAGCCTGGAGCAAGCCTGCTAGCAACATGGCCACACAGTCCAGAAGAGCCGAGGACCATGCCATGGCACTACCACCAGAGGTCCTAGCAAGTCCTGGAGCCAGAAGGGGTCCCTGGGGGCACCATGAAGGAAGACAGATCTGGGCTGGGAGATGGGGGCTGTTTGGACTTAGCCAGAGGCTAAGAGTCCAGCTAAGGCACAAGTTTTATGCCTACCTGGGCCTCTCACTAGAGCATAAACAGGAGGATCAGGATGCCATGGAATGTGGAGGGCCAGGGAGGAAAGCTCAGTGGAGAAAAGGGGAATTCCAGAAGTAACTGTGCTGGAACTACAGGACACCCTCTACCTGGCACTGCGTGCCCCTTTGGTCTGGGGAAGAGCCAAGGGCTGAGGAAGACTGAAGGCCAGGCCCTGTCCTTTCTCCAACTTGTACCAGAGCAGTTGTCCACCAAAAGGAGTATCAGTGCTGGGCCAGGATCCCAGTTCAGGGGGCTCAGAGATCCCTGGGCTCGCTCCATTCTGTCACACCAGGCTCAGGCCCAGGGTGAGGATAGCGGCTGCTGAAGGCACAGAGAAATGACCGGGTCCATTCACCTACAACTGGCCATACAGGCCTATCTCCAGAGAGGGCCGTCGGGCCCCGATGGCACAGCAATGAGTAGCCAGGCTGAACCATGCCATTTTTGCATCACAGCCAGGCGGCTCAGCCATTGTACTGCTGCTGGTAGCGCAGGTTGAGCTCTCGCAACTCCCGCTCCCGTACACGGCGTGACTTGTTGGAGCGTGTAGAGCGGCTGGAACGTGTGGACTGGGCAGATTTGGTGCTCTGGCAGCGTGAGGAGGCGCGTTTGAGGAGGTTCTGGGAGATAGAGCGGTGCAGATTCTTCATAGATGAAGAGGCTGCCATGCTCACCACCCATGGGTGCCTCAGGGCCTGCAGTGCAGTCATACGGGCGCCAGGGTCCACTGTCAGCAGGCGGTCAATGAAGTCCTTGGCCAGATTCGACACACTAGGCCAGGGCTAGAGGCCAAGAACAAGCATTAGAGTGAGAGCACTCAACATTGCCCTCCCCATCCCAACGATACCACCACCTGAGCACTCAGACCTGTCCAGCATCCCTGCCCTCTCCCCCAGGAGAGAGGCACTGCCCAGCTCCCCCTATGTAGAGCATTCTGGGCCTCCCCTTCCCACCCAATGCTGGCCCAAACTGCTAAGCAGAGGCTGGTCTCTGGGTGACAAGGAGTCTGACAACGAGGAGAAGGACTTGCCCACCTCCCCAAGAAGAACATTTCTAAGGTTCCCTGGACTCAAAGCCTGGCTCAGGAAGGTAGCCCCTATCAAGACCCCCTAACCTACCCCAGGACCACTATAACTTAGGGGGATTTAAAGAGAATGATCCAAACCTTCTACCATATCCTGAGCCAGCTTAAGCTCCAATCCCTGGATGCCTGTATCAGGCCACTTAGAAGGGATTTTTCTAGTTTTTAAAGAGAGAGTCCACCCTCCCTCCAACTGACAAAGTGGTGGTGGATGACCACTGCATTTCCTGATGGGAGCCTCAGCCTCCCAGCCATGGGGAGAAAAGGAAACAATTCAAGGCAACTAAGTTCTCCATCTACTGAGAGGGCAGGGGTTCCTGGGGGCTAGGCAGAGACCAGGACTCTTCTCAGGCACATTCTCCAGTCTGCATGACCTCTGTAAGCCACACAGTGGCTCCTGGCAGTGCTCTGCACCAGCCTCATTTGAGTACATTCTGTCCTCAGGGAGGAACTGCACAAAGCCTGCTCTCCCACATGTATCCACGGCTGCCTCATCTCAGCCAGAACCAAGCAGCTATCGATCTTGGGCCTCAGCCTGCACGGCTTGTCTTTAGCTGTCTGAATCTTTAGATTCTCAGGGTAAAGCACACTTGCTCAGATTCACTCTTAGCCTCCCAACACTAAGCAATTATTCCAATTATTGATTGTTCCTGTTAGACCATGCTGAGCCGGATGGGCCCCAGTGCCTGGTGCTAGGTACCAGGAGGTACTCAGCAGATACAGGCTCAGTGAGTAAACAACATATGGATGGCACCAGATAGGTGCCCTCTCCTGGAGCTGCTTCCAGGACGTAGGACTCAGGCAAGTAGGGCCCAGATGTCCTGGGCCCTCGAGCCCGTGTGCTGGAAGAGGGCAGACACAGCACTGCTCTGAATCCCTGCATCTCCTGGGAGCACTCTGGCATGGCTCTGATGCTCCCCAAAGGGTTGGCGGCTAGGACCTTTGCTAAGCCTGCTGCAGATGCCAGGGATGCTGGGATGCCAGGGGCACTATCACCCTCCTTCCTGCCAGGTGAAGTCTGCCTGTTCCACCCCATGGTGACCTTTACCTTGGGGAACCACTGAACACACTCTCCAGGGGGCTCAGGAAAATCTGAGAGCCAACATTCAGGGCAGCTACATGCCTATTCAGCAGACATACTTACATGCTGACTA